CGTATGATGAGTTGGCGAAATTTATTTCCCAAAGAACAAATCCGCCGCTCCAAATTTGTTGGGGGCGGCTGTACACTGTGAGCGCGCTACTGGTTCTTGGGTACCCGGTTTGATTCCAGCAGACGGCCTTGTGTTGGTTTAGCATAGGTACCAAGAGCGGTGGTAAATAACTGAACGTAATTATTACAGTCTCAGGAGAATGGCGCTGCGAGGAGTTACCAGGGGATCTAGCCTACGCTCAAAACTCAGGGGAAGGATGAGACGGATCTGCAATCCGACGGTTACTGGTACCATTGGAATTGGAACTCTTTGCTTGCTGCTAAAAATGTGGACTGAGCATTTGTGAGCAGTTTTGTTTTTCTTTGATGACCTGTAAGACTGGCTTTATTCCTAGCATTCGTCTGATTTCGTAATTTCGTATTCTGTCTTTCCGTGAAACTCCTCGAGCTCTTCTATGGCATTTCATTCGCAGACAGGCCACTTCTGAAAATCCTCATGCTTCCAGTTACAGTTATATAAGTAACCCAGTGCTGCATAGTACACGGAAATATAAGTTACGGGGGGGGGGGGGGGCTCTCTTAGAGGCCATAAATATTCACCAGGGGCACTTGAGGTTTGGGCTCCTTGTGGAGCCTCCCCCCCCCCCCCCACCCCCTCCCAATTTGTTTTAGTAGCGAAACAAGCGTCTTACCTTGTATAGCTTTAAGAAAGAAGCATTTGTTTATACATTTCAAGTCATTTTATAATACCTTTTTTTCTGGGAGTCGGCATATTATTGTTATTACGCAATTAAACAAGACGTGGGTACCATGATGGCCCCATGTTTTCTTTGTGTCAGCGTATGTGTGGGTGTGAGTATGTTTGCATGTGTGGTATGTATATGTGTGCGTATTATACGGTTATCATTCTATATTTTATAGTGGATACTAACCCTGTGTGCTTTGTTCCTTTCCCCACTACTCTTGCCTCATTCTGTCTCTATATTTGACTCGCTCTCTTTGTTTCTCTCCATATCTGTCTCTCGCTCACCTTTTCTATACATGCCTCTTCCTTTCTCGCTGTCTCTCTCTCTGTCTCTCCCTATCTCTCGCATTAGCTTTCTATATATATATATATATATCTATCTCTGTCTTTCCATCTATCTCTCTATATCTCTTTGTCTCTGTCTCTCTCACTCGCTTTCTCTTATATATCTATCGCTCTGTCATTCCCTATTTCTCTCTCTCTCTCTCTCTCTCTCTCTCTCACTCGCTTTCCATATATCTCTCACTTGCTTTCTCTCTCTCTCTCTCTCTATATATATATATATATATATATATATATATATATATATATATATATATATATATATATATATATATATATATATATAATCTGTCTCTCGGTCTTTCCATGTCTCTCTCTCTCTCTCTCTCTCTCTCTTTCTCTCTCTCTCTCTCTCATTAGCTCTCTATCTCTCTTCCTCTCCCCATCTCTCTCATTCACTTTCTCGATATATCTGTCTCTCCATCTCTCTCTCTCTCTCTCTCTCCTTCTCTCTCACATATCTCCTATTAAACTGGTGCTGTGAAACACATCAGTCTCGAATCTGATACCACGCACCATCCTCGGCCAGACCTGATTCTGGAGTGGCGGGATACAGAAACGGCGCGAAACGTCAGCGCGACGGAAATCAATGGTGTTGAAAATCTTATGAGCGTTCCTTTGTGGGTAAGTAGGTCGTTTTGAAAACTCGTGTCTGAAAAGCGAGGAACAGTCTACATACAGATATGTTAGATATTTAAAAGCGGACCTGCGCGCAAAACTTACTTTCTGGAACAAGACCACAGTCCAGAAGTGGGCGAACAGCCAGAACTTTCCGCCGGAGTTTTCAGCCGTTGATTGCTAAGAACAAGAGCTCAGGTCAGCCTTAGAGTCCACGTCAGCCTTAGAGTCCTCGTCAGCCTTAGAGTCCTCGTCAGCTTCAGAGTCCACGTCAAACTTAGAGTCCGCGTCAAGGAGTTAATGATGTCAGGAATATTCATGGTCTGTTGTAGGGAGCATAAGCTCAACTCCCCTCCCCCTAAAAAAAGGGAGTTGGGGGTGGGGGGGGGGTCTCTTAAGGTGGCTGCACTCCAGGTACCAGCGCATGCATTTTACCACCCATGCGTTTTTGGGTTTTTTGCCTTGATGCATATAAAATGCATTTTAAAATATATATGAACATAGCATGCTTTATTGATCAAATACAGCTGCTGTGTGGAAGATGGGTGTTTTGAAGAGCCGAATGTAAGACGGGTCTGCGTGCCCAATTTGTGACCCTTTGAAAGTAAACATTTTTCGTTCGTTCGTTCTGTTGCTTGTATACACTTACGTCTGCCAGCTTGTCCGTCTGTCGCCTTTCCGTGCAGGTGTCACGGCTGGTTTGCTGCAGTTACAGTTTCATGTAATCATTTTCTCTTGAGCAGATTTATGTCAAAAGAATGTATAATTAAGACTCTGTGATATATCACAGCACTCAGGATACTCCCATATGCGTTCAGTCCCCATCTTCAGCAGCAAGCGCAGCAGAGTTTTAATTCTGATAGCAACAGTAATAGTCGGTTTGTCCGTCCCGCCTTTCCCTTGAGGATCGAACCTGGGCCACATCCCAATGTCACTCCACGCAGCACCACTCGCCTCAGATGTTGTAAAGTATAAAACATGATCAAGGTTCCTTTTCCACGCTTTTAGGCGTGTTAGGAATATATAGGGCTTGTCCTATATTTTTACAGACCAATCGGCACTTGGTGGGTGATGGGATCAGCACCACGTCGGCCGCCTTTACTTCCCAGGACTGCACCTGGTACCCACTCAAGGCTGGGTCGACCTGGGAGTCAAGGTCATTTTTGAAAAGTCTAGCCGCCAACGCCACGGCGACTCCCGTTAAAAAAATATAACGACTGTTTAGATGTGGCTGGTTGCCATGCAACGTAAAATTATCAGTACATAAGTAAGAGGCATACTGCTGGGTGAAAAAAAATCGTCAGCTGGTAGATGGTTCCAACCATCTAATCATTGAAATGCGTCATTATGCAAGCTTGCTCGTATACTTTCTTTCATATAGACATTTTTCTTTTTTAAAGCAGACGAATTGTAAGTGAACAGTGCGTTGTTACTGCTTAAACCAGTGTTTCCAAAACTTCTCTTCGTCGCGGTATTTTTTTCAATCACTGTTTTTTTCCACGGCGCCCTAACCCAAGTAAAAGTATGACTATTCGTGTGTAAGATACGCACACACGCGCGCATGCACGCACACACACACACACACACACACACACAACTGAGGGCACTTTGACGCACAGTTTTGGAAACACTGGCTTATACATACAAAAACTCGCATAGTTTCATTCCATTGTTGGCAGCACATGTGATGATCTTGATACTCTTGTACCTCGCGCTGTCAAGGTGAAGGATAATTTACGGAAACAGATCACCATCTAATGGATGGTGGTGGTTACACATCACGCCAGCCGCCTTTATTTCCCATTACTTATCACTCCTGTCACAGTTAAAATGATATCTTACAGCACAGGAGATAGGTAGGGTCCTAAACAGATATTGAGTTGATAAGGGTAGCCAACTGTGGGGGAGTGGTTTTAATCAACCGATGTCTGCAACTGCCTCGTTATTAAGTAGGCTGCCAGGTTTAAAGCTAGTGCCTTGTCCTAACGATTAAATTGATAAGATAAATGGAGGAGATGAGTTGGCTGAGTAGGACCTGATTTTTGTGCATCCCTAATTACAGAATTTACACCGTCTTATCTGCCACTTCTCTTTCCACAACTCATGAAAATATCAAGTTTTTCATGAAATAACGAATTTATCAGCACCTCTAACAAAATCAGTGTTTGTACATAAAACGAAACAGGATGTACAGCCATCATGGAATAATACTAATGTATGGACAATATAGCAAGAGTCTTGAAACCCCCACTCCCCCTGAAATCCCGGAAGGGAAAAAAAGAATTCACCATTAAAAAAAAAATAGTACTTGAGTGATTACATCATATTTATGGCTAAAGGAACATTTGTGTTCTGATATATGCATAGATTAGCATGAGGCGTCCAGAGGAAACTGACCATCAAGCCTACGCATTAGGAGTTCCTGCTACAACTGCTGGCGCTATTTAGAATACACATTGATAGTAGTAGAACTAGCATGTCCTTGTACCAGAACTTTCAGGACAAAGAAGATGCAGGAAGACTCAAAGACACACAGAGAAGAGAATTGGACAAGATTAATAACATTTGGACGACATAGGATGAGCTGCAGGAGCTGATAAAAGATAGGACACCTCAGTGTGTGTTGAAGGCTTATGTGAATGCTATTTCTTCTTTTTTACTTCCTCTTTTGCTACTTTGGGGGTTAAGGGAGTTATAAAGTTCTGCTACTTGCTGTTCTCGCTGCCTCAACAGAAAACATGTTATGCTGTTGTAGAGTTTCTCTAATGTCATCTTTTCATCTTGTTCTTATCTACCTTGTGCTCTCCATTGTTCTCCTCTTTTGGTGTATGCTTGTATATGGTATGGCTTCACAAGTATTCTTTTAAAGTGGGTGAATCTTCTTATGCCCTTCTTATGCTCAGTAGATATAAGTGGAAACATATAGACATATAACACATTTTAAGGAAAGTGCACATTCGTGAAATTAATTAATCAGTTGTCCATTCTATGCATATTGTCTATCGTGAAAGTGGTTCACATTTACCGTTAATTTGTTAGGGAGCTTTTGACATTTGATGAGAGGATTAATTTCATTGCACTGATTTATACAATATGAGAATTTCTACAGAATAAAAGATGGGGAGGACAAATACAAGAAGGATAGAACGACTTGGCGTGATATGCTCGATTGGGGGAAAGGAAAGCAGAAGCAGATAGATCTTGCAGAAAAGCGAGAGAAAAACCAAAGAAGTGATAGATGGGAGGTGCTTGTTTTATTTGACTACCACAGTGACACCATTGTTTTGTTTCCACAGCTGGTCGGTGGAGCAATATTTGGCATAGTTCTGTGGCTACGATTGGATTACTGGACCAGGGAATACCTGGAGTTGAATTCAAAGCTTGAGAGATACCTCATTCTCATCTACATCACGCTTGCTGCAGGAGCACTGATTGCTGCATTCTCAATACTTGGACTCATCGGAGCCTGTTTAAAGAGGAAATGGTTGCTGATAGTGGTAATGTATAGAATATATGTTTTTATTTGTTATGTTAATAAAAATGTAACATCAAAGAAAATAATAGTGCCTAAATGTTTGAAGAAAGTCAAAGATGTTTTTTTTTTAGACGAGTACATAAATTTAAGTATCTAAGCACATGGATACATCCAATGGAAAATGTATCACAGAGATAACAGAGTAGGACAGGCTAAAGCTGCATTTGATCAAATGGAGAACATTTTATGCAATAAATCTTGGTTGTTAGAAGAATCATTCTTGCAGGCTGTATAGAGCCACTTTCAACATAACCCTATAACCTTTAGACTGGCATGACCAGGTGAGTAGATTCAGGTGATGGAGGTTAAGTGCTATTTTCGAACGCATTCTACCCACTTGGAGGGCATCCTACATGTTGCAATATTCTGAAGCATATTCATTGATTCTGTTACAATTACTATTAAGCACACATCAGAATAGGGAAAGTACCCTGCTTGTAGCACACAGAGCAAGGACAACTGAAAAGTGCTTTTAGCAAGTGGAGAAAACTCAAGTGAACACAACAGTGCAAATTACCAGCGGGACACTTGGAATACCCAGTCGATATCGACCATAATATGCTAAAGACAATCTTTTCCACAAGGATAGCATTAGGCCAGGAACAGATCCTTCCATATTACCTACTTAGAGCCATGTCAGATGTGGTACTGTCCAAAACCTCTTTTAGACGACTGATCAGCATCATGGCACAAGGGTAGTGACCCATAAGTACTCCGTTCTACTGCTGACTCAAGCCCTATTCGAAAGAATTGCAGCTGCAGCTAGAATCCTATACTTTGGGTCGATTTTTAACTCTAAATTTTGCCCAGGGGCGCCGTTAGGCTACTCTTTTTTTTATTTCCAACTGCCAAAGGATTTTTTTTAATGTGTGCAACAAAACACACGAGCATCTGACCCTACTACCCAAAGACCAGGGAAAATTACTAGAAGTCCACATGAAAAAATCCCAGTCTTCACTGGGGCTTGAACCCGGGACTTCCAGCACTCATGGCGGACGCTATGCCTCAAGACCACGCAGCCCCTTTATGTCTGCAGTTATGATACCCAGTGATCTCCATAGTTTATTGCAACTGTAAACTGCAGTCTGCGAAATGAACTCAAAGCATTTAGAACACAAGGCAGACAGCTTTACCATTTAATGGTGGACATTCTTCTGGTTTCTGGAGCCCCTTCGGGTGTTGTAGGGGGGGGGGGGATAGGCCCACCATTGAAGAACCAAAAGTCAGCATACAGATAAAGCAGATCTGTAAAACTGATATGCATGTAAAACTTAAGCCTTGGAACAAGGTAAAGTCCAAAAACTGAATGACAAGCAGAACTTTCCACTGGAGTTTACAGTTAGGAAACATGTAGAAGAGAAGAAGAACTGGGGATAACAGGGGCAAGCTAAGTATATGTTTTTGATTTCATTCCTAAATATAATATTTATTTGACACAAGAGGATGTGCATGTGAACATTACATTGTTTTTGTTTCTGCAGTATCTTTCTGTAGTTGTCATTGCCATGGTGCTGACTGTGGCTGCGTTTGTATATGGTGCTATTTACAGAGATGAGGTAACATTTGTTTCTTTATATCTGATCTTGTTTAAAATCTGAATTTTTAAACTGACATTTAAAAAAAGAATTGTAATTGATATAAAATGCTGTAATTTTTTTTTTTAAATTAATGTGTTATTCTGTTTTTTTTTTTTTAAAATATTTATTTACTGCACTGTCTTACATTTTCATCGTGTGTATACTTTTGTGTAATATATTTAACTGTTTTTATTTAAATTTTAAATTGTATCAACTGTTTTCTGTTTTAAATTAGCTCAACATTAGAAACAAATTGTTTAACGTTTTGTTGCATTGAATTTGCTCAGTTGTTTTTCTTTATCTGTTGAACCATACCATAATGTTATCTACTTAAATATTGCTTATTTTCAGGTACTTGACAGATTAGATTAAAAGAAAGGAAAACGAAACAATAGATTAACGTGTATCCTGTGTTTTACCGATGAAACTGCTTTAGTTATGTAATGCTTTGTGATTATTTCCTTCTGTGTAAAAAAAAAAATGCATTATGTCTGCATAAAAGCTTACTCTTTCTCTCCCCCTTCCCAATTCTTTCTCTCTCTATTTTCTTTCTCTCTTCCATGTCTATCTCTCTTTCTCTTGTGTACTAATTCTCTCTCTCTATTTGCTCTCTCATCTTTTCCTCTCTCCTCCTTTTCCTTACTGGTATTCATCTCTCTCTCTCTAGGCTCTCTCTCTCTCTCTCTCTCTCTCTCTCTCTCTCTCTCTCTCTCTCTCTCTCTCTCTCTCTCTCTCTCTCTCTCTCTCTCTCTCTCTCTCTCTCCCCCCTCCCTCCCTTTCCTTTACTAGTATTCATTTTAAGATGATGTAAGCTCTCTCTCTCTCTCTCTCTCTCTCTCTCTCTCTCTCTCTTTCTCTCTCTCTCTCTCTCTCTCTCTCGCGCGCTCTCTCTCACTCATGCACGTGCACACACACACACACACATGTGAATATATTTGAATAAATGCTTTTCACCCTTCCACCTTTTTATTTAATCTCTAACTTTTTTCTCTCCCTCCCTCCTTCTCCTTTACTAGTACACATTTTAAAGATGATGTAAGCTCTCTCCCACCTATTTTCACGAACCTCCCCCCCCCCCCCTCCCCATTGTTTTTAAGCATACTTCTCGGCTCCCGCACAAACACACACACACACACACACACACACACACACACACACACAATTTCTGATAAATGTTTATGCCATGCTTGTTGCATGCTTGAATTCAGCTACACAATCTTATCTAGAACTTACCGACTGACTTGTTTGTGTTCTCATACAAATGAAGCTGAGGAACACTTTGGTGAGTGACAGTCTCCTGACCGAGATCATCAAGAATAAATATATCGAGGACCGCACTAGTCGATTTGTGAGAGTTGTCGACATCATGCAGTCAGAGGTGAGTATTTGTGTGTGTTTAACTAACCCTTTTCATACAAGTAGTGCATCTGACATGTGATGCTACACTCATATTTTATAACACACATATCAGAGTTTCATCTGGGCAGACAGTCATGAGGATTTCTCTTGTAGATAATTCAGTTAAGTGATGTTTGTGTGTTCTTGTTCATGTTTGTGACATTGTCTTATCTGTTCATGTAACTGCTGATGAAGGCCTTCTAGCTGCACGGTTTACTTGTCATTTGTGCTTGTGATAATGTGAAGCTGACTAGTTCTGCTTTTCGTTTGGTTTGATATATTTTAATTTTATTATAGACTAATTTTCATTTGATGGGTTGTGGAATAAACATCATGCCGACCTTCTTTGTTTCCCAGGACATTACCTGGTGCCTAGACGATGTTTTGTAGTTTACAAGTAGGATTTCGGCCCAACACATTTGATCAGAATTCCCTAATTAGTTGGCTATTATTGCATGCTTGTCAGGTTTGCAGTGGGTCTATTCTTTTCCCTCCAAAATGTGCCCCAAAACCCATTTGGGTTTGGAGAATGAAAAAAGAGCTGATATCAGAAAAAAAGAAGGGACCAATGAAATATCTTGCGTATATAATAATTTGTTCAATACTACTCACAAAAGTCCACCTCATCTTGTTAACCGTGAGATCTCATAGCGGTTTCCCCGGGCTGTCCTATGTTCTAGAGGTGTTAAGACATGTTTTCCTTTGCCGTCTGCACGCAGCATGCCGAAAAAGTGGCTCAAGTTAGTTTGACATGGTCGACACACTGTCTCTCAGACGAAAACGGTTCAGTCTTCTTTTTGCAGAAACTCTTTTCTGTGAACGACTGTTGTTTCTGGAATGTATTGTTGTTATGAGTAGTCTCAGGTGCCGAAGGCGCTTGCTTGCAAGGAAAAACTATTACAGGGGGAAAGCACCAGGGGCGCAACGGTTCCTGAGGATCAAATCATTGATGTTTTTGCATTTTTTTGCGCTTGTTGGCGGTGGCTATCGTTGATAATGGATGTGCTTAAAACATTCAAAACGAGCAATACATGTCATCCCTAGACTATAGAATTGGTCCAGGAAATCCCGTACAAAATCTTATGGCCAGTATGGGGTGACTTTCGAAGAGCTGTAAGGTTTGTTTCCTCCTTCTCACATCATTGTCCACTTATGTGTAGCATTGTCTTCCTTGTGTACTCTTCCCCGCCACTTTTTCCTCTAGCACTTGCTGTAACAATTGGAGAGGCAGATTTGTCCTCCCAAAAACGACCTGTGAAGTAAAAGCAGTGGTGTTGACCACATGACACACAGAGTGCCGATTGAAAGTCAAGGACCCTTTCACATTAGTGGTATATTTAGACACCTTATGCTAGAAAGTCAAAGACCCTTTCACACAAGTGGTATATTTAGACACCTTATGCTAGAAAGTCAAGGACCTTTTCACACAAAAGTGGTATATTTAGACACCTTATGCTAGAAAGTCAAGGACCCTTTCACATTAGTGGTATATTTAGACACCTTATGCTAGAAAGTCAAGGACCCTTTCACATTAGTGGTATATTTAGACACCTTATGCTAGAAAGTCAAGGACCCTTTCACATAAGTGGTATATTTAGACACCTTATGCTAGAAAGTCAAGGACCCTTTCACATTAGTGGTATATTTAGACACCTTATGCTAGAAAGTCAGGGACCCTTTCACATAAGTGGTATATTTAGACACCTTATGCTAGAAAGTCAAGGACCCTTTCACATTAGTGGTATATTTAGACACTTTATGCTAGAAAGTCAAGGACCCTTTCACAAAAGTGGTATATTTAGACACCTTATGCTAGAAAGTCAAGGACCCTTTCACATTAGTGGTATATTTAGACACCTTATGCTAGAAAGTCAAGGACCCTTTCACATAAGTGGTATATTTAGACACCTTATGCTAGAAAGTCAAGGACCCTTTCACATTAGTGGCATATTTAGACACCTAATGCTAGACATGTATTTGTGTCTGCTAATTGACACTCCAAGGTTAATGTGGTCATTATTATGCCAGCCACCTTTACTTCCCAGTATTTTACCTGGTACTCGTTTTTGGCCGGGCTAACATGGGAGCCAAGGTCAATGGAGAAAGAAAAAAAGGGGGGGGGGGAGAGAGGGTGGTCTGATTCTAGTTTCATATGCCTAGTGCGATACACTTGAAAAAGGTTCCTTTATTTTACATGCTTTAAAAAGGCTCAAATATCAGACCTGTTTTATGGAGCAAAAACATATTAAACAACTGAATCAAATACCGTTAAACTACATTCATTAACTCACTGACTACCACGCTTGTTAACCTTTGCACTTTGCTAGATACCACACGTTTTTAGTGTGTACTAATTGCTGAAGCTTCACAGCTATTTAACATAAACTCATTCTTGTTCCAGATTTAACAAACACATTTTATGAACAAAAAATTGTGTAATCTTTTTTTATTTTTTTACATCATCATCATGTGGCTGTAGACTGGGGCAAGCAGCAACAAAAACAACAACTGAAAAATGATCTTTTTTTTTTAAACATTATCATCATGTCGCTGTAGGTTGGTGCAAAAAAAAAAAAACAGACAACTAGAAAATCTTCGGACACCAAATTTGTGCGCACACATTCTTTTTTTTTTTTTCTGAAGTAATCCTGGGTGTGAGCGATGCCTAACTTAAATAAAATTCTGCAATTTCAGTGGCTGTTTGCCATTTTGTACCAAGAATTTATGATGCAGTATGACTGAATTGTCAAACTCAAAAGCCATAAGATTGGTCTTTTCCCAAAGCACGCATCATGAGAATCGCAGCCTGGTAAACGTCCAAGATTTTACTATGAAACAATAATCACTAAGCCAAACAGCCATAATGTACACAGTCTACACTAACGGACACATCTAACAATATACACCTGAAGCACACACATGAAAAAATCTCCAAAAAATACTTACTCCAACTGCCACAGCTGATACTTGAATCGTCGTCCATTCAGTTTTGAAGTTGTTTCTGATGGCAGTTAATAAGATTGATCAATGTCAATAAGATTTATCAATGTCACAGTCATCAAACGGTTTAGAAATTTCTTTACCTTCTCTTAGTGGTCAACGAAAAAAATAAACAAAATCTCTCATTGCATCAGAAATATCCCGGCCATGCTGGCGGGGTGGGAAATGAACAGGCAGACAGATTAGCTGGATCAGCACCACTGGGTGGGGAATTGATACATGATACGGCAGATGTTTTCAAGGCCCTTTGGGAACAAGCAACCGAATCAGTAGAGAAAGAAGATTATTATGGCCTGGAGAGAATGAGGCACCTGGGTGTAACCAGAGTGTCTGGCCGGCTGACTACACTCATAGGAAAGGCAAGACAGACTTTTAACCAGATTGTGACCGGCACCATCAGTATTGGAACTCTGTGCTGGCTGCTGAAGATGAGGACAGAGCATGCATAGGAATGCCCCGAGTGCTGTGATGTCAGTTCTTGACTCAACTCGGAGATATCTCCAAAATCTTGCCATCATACCAGCAGGGACGTTCGCCGGCTATCAGACTTGAAGCCTTCATTTAAGTTTCGCCGAATGTTTTTGATGTCACTCTGTAAGATTTGTCAGAGTCATCAGACTGATCATAATATCCCCACCTTCACTTTCTGAAGATAAATCAAGTAAATCACCCGTAGCACCAGAAATTGTCTCTATATTGTTGAATTCACGATGGCTCTGAGAATTCAACATAATAACAAAAATATATGTCAACCTGTTGCCGACATGGGGGCTCACCATATGTCAGGAAAATTTACTGTAAGCACTACAGAGCCATTTATCTTATAGAAAGAAAAAAACGTTAGAAATGGACTGATAGCTTTAACCACATATATAGCAAAATTGCGATTTTTAACATGATGGTGAAAATCCAAGGGTGCAATCGAAGTTACCAGGCATAACTGTCGGCCGATCACCTAACTTGTGGTAGTCAGTTGCCGACATGGGAGCTTACTATATAATGTGAAAAATTTACTATAAGCACCCCCAGCTGTTTTACTTCTAGAAGTAGACCAATGGCTTTAACTGCATTTATCACAAAAGTCATCATTTTAACATGGCGGTGAGCATTCAAGGGTGCAGTCTAATTGACAAGGAGTAGCCACCGGCCGATCACCTTACTTGTAGTGGTCAGTGGGTCAGTTGGGGCCTATGCTGAATAAGTTGGCGTCTGTGGATTAGGCGTTGCGGACTCAGAAAATGGCAAGTGGCCTTTTGCCAGTTTACTTGTGTCTTATGCGATTAATTGCATCTGCAAATACTAATCTGTTGTAACTGCTGCTTTTGTCGATGACGAAAGTCATTTCTAGTGTCTGCCTGTTGGCACTTCTGTCTGCTGCCTTATGCATTTAGTTTGGTTTGGTTTGAACAGCGGATCACCACCCTGGCACAAGGGTAGTAATCCATAATTGCTCCCTTCTACTCTTATCTCAAGCATGAGTCTGAAGAATCTCAGCGCAGTGCATGAACTTCCTAGCACTTGCGAGGATCTTTAAATACTCTGGGTAGATTTTTTACTCAAAATTTTGTCAGGGCAGTGCCGTTTGGCTACTCTTTTCGATTTCCAACTGCCAAGGGATTATTTTACATGCGCAGCATCTGTGCTGTTGGATGTGCTAAGACTACAGTTTACCAATCTGTGTTAGTTTTTTCACCTGGCAAGTGATGGACATTCTGTGTGATTTTCATTGGCACAGGAAGAAGCAGCTACGAGGAGACCCGTTTGCAATGTAGTTGGCAATGTGTCATTACCTGACCACTCACAGTGCAATAAAGGCATACCAAGAAAAAAAAAAAAAACTAAACACATGGAAAAGAGAGAAGTTTTGCAGATAGGCAGAAAATAGAGTGAGCTGCATGTGACAGCAAATAATACAATAGGATAATTGAGTGTGAATGGGTTGGGAGCCTTATTGAGGTAGAAAGGGCAGCAGAAGAAGGTTGATCCTCTCACCTTAGTCATTTAATTGCAGCGCGTGTACACACGCACATGCGCGCACACACACGCATGCACGCACGCACACGCGCACAGCATGTTTCTTTAGACTTATTTTCACTAACTATGCTTTATATCCACAAACAGTACATTTTATCCACACACTACATGATTTTATCCACAAACTACACACATATCCACAGATCACCCACCCAAAAACTGCACATTATGTCCACAAACCACACACTATATCCACAAACACCAGAACTGATGTTGTTTATTACTTTACACCCGTGACTGTTTCCCCCCTCTGATGTTGATGATTACACCCGTGATTGTTTTTCCCCCTCCACAGCTGGAGTGTTGTGGCGGCACCAATCCTATGGATTATGCGGAATCAAACTGGGCTAAAACTATCCAGTCCAGCAATGATCAAAACAGCGGCACCAGTATGAAGTCGGTGCCGGTGCCAGCATCCTGTTGCAAAGATTATCTGAAATATCAGGATAGGTCAAAGACGTGTGACATGTACAGCCGAGACCCAAAGGATGACCAAAAAAAGAGTGAAGACATTTGGCAGACTGTATGTATTTGTTTGCTTATTCTATATTGTTACTGCACGAACATTTTCTATATTGTTACTACCAAAACATTTTTCCAAACTTACTACAAGAACATGTCAAGAGCTTATTCTTTATTGTTTCTCTAAGGTTCATTCCTTACTGTTGCTCCAAGAATTTACTCTGCAATATATTGTTACTCCCAAGAACTTATTTCTTATTGTTACTACAATTTATTCTTCCGTGTTGTTACAGTTAGAACTTACCAAAAACATTTTTTATATTGTTACTTCAGCAGCTTATTCTGCAATATATTGTTACTGCAAGGGCTTATTCTACAGTATACTGTTACTCCAAGAACCTATATTGTTACTCAAAGAAATTATATATTTTAATTCCTAGAATTTATTCTACAATATATTGTAACTGCAAGAGCTTATTCTACAGTATGCTATTACTCCAAGAACTTATTCTGGCACTCCAAGAAATTTTTTTTTATATTGTTGCTCAAGAACTTATTCTACGGTATATTGGGACTTGGCATTTGTGGCTTAGGGATTATGAATACAGTTTATAATTCTAACATACTGGGTTTGTTCAGCCCTAGGTGATATGGCAGCAAAGCACTTTGCATTGATTTCGCCAGTGAAATGGGCCATCAACTGTTAAAATGTAAATGGCAAATTGCCAAACTTGAGAACTGTCTCATGAAAATCACAAAAATAGCCCACAAATGCTGCAGCCAGTGTGGCATATCCTGTATTAGGAAATACATCTGACTTGTTTTACCTCCAAGAAATTGAATTATATAAATGTCCTGCAACTGTCATCATTGCCATCTGTTTCTGTTTAAACAGGGTAAAAAGGTAAAAGGTAAAGTTGAAAGAAGTGAACCAGCGTCATTGCACACGGTTGATAAATGATAAGTGCTCTGCCACCAGTACGGACTGCTGATAAGAAATTGTCCGCCTGTGTCGCCGTCCGCTTGTAACTCTGTCGCTACAGCGACATTCCTCCATTTACCCCAGAGTGTCAACTCTGGTACCCATTTCCTAGAGGCTGGGTGAACCCCGCAAACCGCCAAGTTTCGAACACCGATAGTGCGGCTGCAGCAAGTCGCAGCTGGATTTGAAAGCCAGCCTCTTATCTACTGTGCTAACGCGGCCCCTGAAGTTTAAACAAAGGATCAACATCATAGCACAAGGGTGCTTACCCATAAGTGCTTTTTTCTACTTTAAACTCAACCCTGAGTTCAAAGAATCTCAGCGCAGTGCATGAACTCTGTGTACTTGAATACTTGGGGCAGATTTTGAACTTCAAATTCCTACTACCCAGAGACCATGGAAATTACTAGAAGCCCACGTGAAAAAAATCCCAGCCTGAAACCGGGACCTTCAGCACTCGAGTAAGCCCCACATCCAAGGGATGCACACTGGAGACTGTGGCATCCAGTTTTCGAGCTAATGTAGCCCAGACTTATTTTTAAAATCTTCCAGAAACTGAAAAGGATCTAGAAATCTGGCAGAAGAATTTATAGGCCTCCGGAAAAATAGAAGAAGCTTATAACAACCAATAGACATGCATCTGCAAAGGATGGGCTTGCGCTGTACTCCCCCGCCCCCCCCCCCCCCCCCCTTTAATTTTTCCCCAGGCTCTTTTTTTTTAAATATTCATTTTCATGATAGTTATGTTAGTTGAGATACTGAAATGCATGCACACATTGAAACCTTTTTTTTACTTCCAGGGCTGTGAGATAAATTTACAACAGTTTTTTGACAAGTATGTAGTCATAGTCATCAGTATAGCAGCAGTTTTCTTCGTGTTGCAGGTTGGTGGCATTTTTTTTATTATAAACGGGGAGAAATTTGTTGTAAGCATGAAAGATCTTTCCTTCTGTCTTCTCTGTTCTTCCACTACAGGCTGCCACATGAAGATTTGTGTGTCCTGAGGTTGTGGAATCTCAGGGTGGATCACTAGTCAACAGAGCAAATCCTAGATACACTTGCTCAACCTCTGAATAAGTTATAATTGGGGCACCCATAATTGCTTCACAAGTCTGGTGTATGCAGTCTGTGTTTTTAAGGATGTGTATGAGGTGAAAAGTAATTTCATTTGACATTCGAGTGGTTTTGGGGAAGTCGCCTTGGTGTACCGGTTAAACACTTGCGGATAGGAAGTTTGCGAGTACAGGTCCTGGGGGAGCTGGACTTTCTTTAAAAAAAAATGACCTTGGCTCCCACGGTCGACCCAGCCTTGAATTGGTAACAGGTGCAGTCTGAGAAGTAAAGGCGGCCGTCATGATGTTGACCACATCACCCACCAAGTGTCTGGTTATCTGTAAAATATAGATCTAGCCTTATATGCCCAATACGCCTGAAAAAGGTCCTTTACTTTACTATTTGAGTAATTTGGACCAGGATGACACAGTGAGTAGTGCCAGTCTTCTTCTTCTTCTTCTTTTTCTTCTTCTCCTCCTCCTCTTCTTCCTCCTCCTCCTTTTGCTGCTGCTTCTGCTTCTCCTCCTCCTCCTCCTCACTGTAAACTGCAGCAAATATTTCTATGGTTGTTTATCCATTTCTGGACTTGAGTCTCTAGGCAGGCCAAGCATTTCACATTTCCCCAGCAGTGTACACCAACTGTAGTTGAAAGATGAGACTCTTAATTAACCCATACTGTGCTGAACTTGAGTTGAAAAATGAGACTCTTTACTTATCCTGTATCAAGCATTCGTTGAAAGATGAGACTATTAACCCATCCTGTATCAAACATAAGTTGAAAGATAAGACTATTAATTAACCTTTTCTGTATCAAACATTAATTGAAAGATGAGACTGTTAACCCATCCTGTATCAAACTTTAGTTGAAAGATGAAACTACTAACCCATTCTATATCAAACATTAGTTGAAAGATGAGACTATTAACCCATCCTGTATTAAATGTTAGCTGAAAGATGAGACTGTTAACCCATCCTGAGCTGAACTTGACTTGAAAAATGAGACTGTTAACCCATCCTGTATCAAACGTTAGTTGAAAGATGAGACTATTATCCCATCCTGTAACAAACATTAGTTTAAAGATTAGACTATTATATTAACCAAACCTGTATCAAACATTAGTTGAAAGATGAGACTGTTAACCCATCCTGTGCAGAAGATTCATTGAAAAAAGAGTTAATTCCTTCTGTACTGAACTTTAGGGAAAGGTGAGACTGCTAACCCAATCAGTGCTGAACTTATGTTAAGACAAGACTGCTAACTCAACCAGTGCTGAACTTATGCTAAAAGACAAGACTGCTAAATCAACCAGTGCTGAAGTTATGTTAAAAGACAAGACTGCTAACTCAACCAGTGCTGAACTTATGTTAAAAGACAACACAGCTAACTCAACCAGTGCTGAACTTATGTTAAAAGACAACACTGCTAACTTAACCAGTGCTGAACTTATGTTGAAAGACAACGCAGCTAACTCAACCAGTGCTGAACTTATGCTAAAAGACAAGACTGCTAACTCAACCAGTGCTAAAGTTATGTTAAAAGACAAGACTGCTGACTCAACCAGTGCTGTAGTTATGTTAAGACAAGACTGCTAACTCAACCAGTGCTGAACTTAAGTTAAAAGAAACACAGCTAACTTAACCAGTGCTGAACTTATGTTGAAAAACAACACTGCTAACTCAACCAGGGCTGAACTTATGTTAAAAGACAACGCTGCTAACTCAGCCAGTGCTGAACTTATGTTGAAAGTCAACACTGCTAACTCAGCCAGTGCTAAACTTACGTTAAAAGACGAGACTGCTAACTCAACCAGTGCTGAACTTATGTTAAAAGAAACTCTGATAACTCAACCAGTGCTGAACTTATGTTAAAAGAAACTCTGATAACTCAACCAGTGCTAAACTTATGTTAAAAGACAACACTGCTAACTCAACCAGTGCTGAACCTATGTTAAAAGACAACACTGCTAACTCAACCAGTACTGAACTTATGTTAAAAGAAACTCTGATAACTCAACCAGTGCTGAACTTGTGTTAAAAGAAACTCTGATAACTCAACCAGTGCTGAACTTATGTTAAAAGACAACACTGCTAACTCAACCAGTGCTGAACTTATGTTAAGACGAGACTGCTAACTCAACCAGTGCTGAACTTATGTTAAAAGAAACTCTGATAACTCAACCAGTGCTGAACTTATGTTAAAAGACAACACTGCTAACTCAACCAGTACTGAACTTATGTTAAAAGAAACTCTGATAACTCAACCAGTGCTGAACTTGTGTTAAAAGAAACTCTGATAACTCAACCAGTGCTGAACTTATGTTAAAAGACAACACTGCTAACTCAACCAGTGCTGAACTTATGTTAAGACGAGACTGCTAACGCAACCAGTGCTGAACTTATGTTAAAAGACAACACTGCTAACTCAACCAGTGCTGAACTTATGTTAAAAGACAACACTGCTAACTCAACCAGTACTGAACTTATGTTAAAAGAAACTCTGATAACTCAACCAGTGCTGAACTTATGTTATGATAACTCAACCAGTGCTGAACTTATGCTAAAAGACAACACTGCTAACTCAACCAGTGCTGAATTTATGCTAAAAGACAACACTGCTTACTCAACTGGTGCTGAACTTATGCTAAAAGACAACACTGCTAACTCAGCCGGTGCTGAACTTGAGTTAAAAGACAAGACTGCTAACTCAACCAGTGCCAAACTTATGTTAAAAGACAACACTGCTAACTCAACCCATCCTTGGCCAGGTGTTATTTAAAAAATGAGTGAATTTATCCCATAACAAGCTACCCTGCACAAACTTTACTTAAATCCTAGGATTTTTTTTGTTTTGTTCATGTTTTCAGGATGTTAATATCTTTATTGTCTTGGTGCCTTTGTAAAGCTTTTATTTATGCAGTTTGTTTTATGCCGAGAGCTTTGCTTTCTTGTAAATTTATCATCATTCTCATCGGTATATTAAAACAGTAAAGTAAAGGTCCCTTTTCCACACCTTTAGAGTTTTTTTTTTTTTGGGAATATAAGGCTAGACCTATATTTTTATAGACCAATCGGCACTTGGTGGGTGATGTGGTCAGCATCACGCCGGACGCCTTTACTTCCCAGGAGTGCACCTGGTTCCCACTCAAGGCTGGGTCGACCTGGGAAGGTCAACATCTTTTTAAAAAAACAAAAATCCAGCTTCGTCAGGGCACTAACCCACGACCTTAAGATCTGCAGGTGGGTGTCTAGCCACCATCTCCACTGTGATTCCCCATCAGTATATTATGTATATTAATAATTAAAGGTGGAAAATGTGGCTAACAGCAATACGAGACAATACTTGACAAGACATAAGAAAGACAGAAGGACCCTGAAGTAACTGGATGAAGACATAATGTTATACATATATGAAATAAAACATGGCAAACAGGATGAAATTACTCTTTCAGCACTGCCTATTAAGTATTTTAACTCATTCTTTCCCGAGACATTCAGTCTAAAGCATAAATATTTTGAATGTGACCTTAAAATAACGCTGTTGTCATATATCCTATCACTTATGTGAGCATGTTTATATTGCCCAGTCTTTAGTGTTAGTTTGTCTTATTTTTCAGTTATGTACTGTTCTTCTTAGGCCACGTACACTGTCATGATTACTTACTAAATTATTTAATAACTTTGTTGTTAACACCTTTTTTGTATGTGGAATTTTGCTTGTGAATGCACTTTGCTGTTAAACATTTTAATATCCCAAACTGTAACAGCCGTATATTTCTACTAATTTTTGTTTTGTGTATTATATATATACATATATAATCTGTGTGTGCTTTCCTTTTGCACTGAGTTTACATATATGTTTGTCTCTCTCTGCGCCCCCCTTCTCTATAAATGTGTATGTATAACATTTACACACATACCTATATAAAAACAGCTGTTTTCAAAGAGGTGAGGGCTTAAAGAAAACTTATCACAAATATCAGATAGAGACAGTCATCATGTTTTGGCCATGTTATAAGCAGAAGGAAATTGGAACATATTGTCGCCTCTGAAAAGATATCTAGAAAATAAGATAGAGGAAGACAATGCAGGGAACTTCTTCAACAGGGTTTTGTCATTACATTAAGGCAGTGATTCCCAAACTGTGCTCTGCAGCACCCCGGGGAGCCGCAATCTCTTTACATGGGCGCCGCAAATTATTTAAAGATACACCAGTTGTTTTTTTTTAAAAATATTTTTTTAATTATAAATCTCTTACATACGATAAGTCATACTTTTACTTAGGTTAGGGTGTCGCAAAAATTTTTTTAATTAAAAAAAGTCGCAGCGAGTAAGAACAGTTTGGGTAACATTGCATTAAGGGGTATAGCACACGGACATGCTCATTTGTGGAGAGGCATGATCACCCACACCAGCTGGTGGGATATTGATGAAACACTTGTACATATGTTTTGCTTGTTACCCTTCATGCAGTAACAAAATATCAGAGCAAAAATAACAAATAAGATTTTGTACCTACATGGAAAGACTGTTACTTTAAAATTATGGCTGACCTATGTAGTAATACTTGAAACTGAAAATTTAAACATTTGTTGTTAGGATAAAATGTGTAAACATCAACTAGGGAATAATGTAATAATGCATTATAAATCACAAAGCAAGCTAAATTATAACAGTGGAAAGTTCAGTGTTAGGATAAAATGTCTAAACATTGACAAGAGAATAATGGAAAAATGTATTATAAATCATAAATCAAGCCAAATCTAATAGTGAAAAGTTTAATGTTATGCTACAAGAGAATAATGGAATAATGCATTATAAATCTCAAGTCAAATCTGATAGGGGAAAGTTAAATGTTAGGATAAAATGTCAAAACATTGACTAGAGAATAATGAATAATGCAACATAAAATGTCAAAACATTTACTAGAGAATAATGCATTATAAAATGTCTGAACATTGACTAGATAATAATGGAATAATGTATTATAAATCACAAACCAAGTCAGATCTTATAGTAGAAAGTTCAATGTTAGGATACAATTTCTAAACATTGACTGGGAAATAATGGAATAAAATGCATTATAAATCACAGTTTAAGCCAAATCTAATATTGGAAAGATAATTGCTTTCATTCACATAAATGGGTTTTTTGTTTGTGGCCTGTCTTGTTTAAAAGAATTTTGCAAATCTTGAGTTTGTATTGTGAAAGCTTCTCACCTTGCCTCCTTCAATTTCTCCCACTTGTCTTGACTGTAATGCCCTCAAAGAGGCATTTATTTAGTTTATAAAGCATGTACTGTTTCGAAGGACCATGTCTTAAGGGCTCCTTTGTGCAGTATGCTGGGCTACCAGTGAATGAACCCAGTGTCTGTGGTTCTGTTCCTCAGGTAATCTGCATGACCCTATGCTCTATAGTTTTGCACCTGATCACCTGCATGTATGTGACCAAGCCTGATGACATTGTCTACTATGTGAACCCAGTCTCTGTGGTCTGATCCTCAGGTAATCTCCATGATCATATGCTCAATACTAATCCACCTGCTCAACTCCCTGTATGTGCCACAGCCTGACGACATCGTCTACGACATGGCCCACAACCAGGAGAAGTCGCCGTACCCGTCACGAGGCGACCACTGGGACCACTACCACTAAGGGAAGGTCTCACTCTCTCTCTCTCTCTCCGTTTCTGTGCTTCGGGTTGTAGTGAGAGTGTGACGGTGTTAGGGAGTTGACAATGCCAATGAGGTAATGACACCACAATGAGGTAATGATACCACAATGAGGTAATGACACCACAATGAGGTAATGACACCACAATGAGGTAATGACACCACAATGAGGTAATGACACCACAATGAGGTAATGACACCACAATGAGGTAATGACACCAGCTGTTCGGTTATTACTGGGAGTTTAAGTACACTGCCTGACTTCAGAAATACAGGAAAAGAATTTATTGAAAATAGAGAACCACACAAGTTCTTGTTGGAATTTTTGCAAAGACTTAACGAGCTGCAGTGAAACATTGACCAGCTTTGGTTGCTTTTGTGATTCCTCTAACAGAAATTTGTATAAGAAGCAGCTATCAAGACTCATCAGTTTTATCAAAGGAAGATAGTTGTAATCAACATGAATTTCTTTATAAAGATTGTTAAAAATTGTAATGAATTAATATATTTTTGCACTTTACCGTGAATTACTTTAATCTTTCATTGGTAAGAACTCATTGTCTTATCCATGTTGACAGTCATTTTATAATGTACATTGAAAGATAGGGTTATTCTAAAAAAGAGAAGAAAGGGAAAGGTTGCCCTCATTTTTCTTATCATACAAGATTAGAGTGTACTATAAAAGATATATAAAGAAAGTATAGAGTGTACTATAAAAGATAAAGTAAGAAATATAGTGTGTGCTATAAAAGATAAGGTAAGAAGATTAGAATGTACTATTTAACATAAGGTAACAAGATTAGAGTATACTATTAAAGATAAGGTAACAAGATTAGAGTGTACTATTATAGATAAGGTTGTTATACATTAGTGGGGAGTGTGTGACCTCATGTTTTTTTTTCACAGTTCAACAGAAAGACATTACAGATTACATTATAACAAGTTATTGTCCAGCTGACACTAATGTAGGCACAAAAGTGGACCATCTGTTGCAGAGCTATTAGCTAAGTTTACTCCCGGGCCAAAAGTTTGAAAATGAGGATTGTTACGGGCCATATGCCTGAGCCCTAGATTAGAAAGACAGTACAGCCGACATGTTTGCTCGTCGTCTGCTCGAAGATCCAGGCAGCATGCAGAAAACCTGCCAGGCAGCATGCAGAAAACCTGCCAGGCAGCACGCAGAAAACCTGCCTGGCAGCATGCAGAAAACCTGCCAGGCAGCATGCAGAAAACTTGCCAGGCAGCATGCAGAAAACCTGCCAGGCAGCATGCAGGAAACCTGCCAGGCAGCATGCAGAACACCTGCCAGGCAGCATGCAGAACACCTGCCAGGCAGCATGCAGAAAACTTGCCAGGCAGCATGCAGAAAACCTGCCTGGCAGCATGCAGGAAACCTGCCAGGCAGCATGCAGAACACCTGCCAGGCAGCATGCAGAACACCTGCCAGGCAGCATGCAGAACACCTGCCAGGCAGCATGCAGAAAACTTGCCAGGCAGCATGCAGAAAACTTGCCAGGCAGCATGCAGAACACCTGTCAGGCAGCATGCAGAAAACCTGCCAGGCAGCATGCAGGAAACCTGCCAGGCAGCATGCAGAACACCTGCCAGGCAGCACGCAGAAAACCTGCCTGGCAGCATGCAGAAAACCTGCCAGGCAGCATGCAGAAAACTTGCCAGGCAGCATGCAGAACACCTGCCTGGCAGCATGCAGAACACCTGCCAGGCAGCATGCAGAACACCTGCCAGGCAGCATGCAGAAAACCTGTCAGGCAGCATCACCAGCCATTTTGTAAGCTTCTATTATGGACACTTAATTATTCATATGCTCTTGTAGTTTTTGGGTTGTTTGCAGGGCCATGTTTGGGGGTTGATATTCACGTGATTCAGAGGTAATGGGGTTTAGTTCTTGCCCACATGGTTATGTGGGTCTGTTGACACTAACATGGTTTAGGCATCAGGGTGATTTATTGACACCAATATGATTCAGTGGTGGTGTGTGTTTATTGACACCTGCATGTTTCTGGGGTGAAGTGGGTTTGTAGACTCTCATATGTCGCTCGTTGTGGCTTCTGGAAGAAGTGGGTTGTTATCTAGTTTGATGCATTGACACTCACATTGTCTGTCCTATGAAACTATTAGATTAAAGGGTTGGTATTAAAGTGCAGAGAAAAGTATGTACTCTTATTCCTCTGTAGAAGGTAAGAACACATTGAGTTATGACAGACAGTTACTGGAACTTTACATCTGCAAGGGCAGTGGTGAGCCTTAGAGCATTAGCTGCACTTGAGGTCCATTTATGGTTGGTCCACATCATGTAGAGATGCTACAAAGACTTGACCAGTGTGAAATCTAATCCTTGTGATTTTGATGGCCCATTCTACCCCTTGAAATACCAAAATATACTCTAGAAATTAAGATGGACTTACGTTATACTGACCTTATCAAACATCAGTTGGACTCTTAGTTAAGAGGGTATTGCCAAATAAGTTGCTGCTCACTGAAGGAGGGGTCCGAGCACTTACGGACTGAATGCTTCTATTGCACTCACAATGATCTGTCACATAATGTATTGCTCTATAGCTATATCTTTATGTGCCAGGATACGATAATACCTGCGTATGAGGTTTTCTAACATTCACATGCAGTTATACCATATTTACCAAACCATCTTTCATGGACTGACTAAACTGGCGCGATGTGCAAATGAAAGGAATTGTGTTTGTTTATCTATAATAAGTATTGATCGCTCATGAATAGAAACACATACACTAAAGAAAGACTAATTACAAGTGAGTTTGTTTGTCTGTAATAAGTATTGGTGGCTCATGAATAGAAACAAAGAAAAGAAAGACTGAATACAAATGAATTATGAATCAGCCGGTAAAACAAACTGTCAAAACAATATGCCCTATAAGTGTGAGAGGAAATATTTGACCTCTTTGAAATAAATTGTATTACATTTTAAAAACATTGATCAAGCTTTAACATTGTACTTCATATGTGTGTTATATGTCAATAATATTCCAGTTTTACTTCTTTTCTTGCTATATTGAAGTCATGTGGCAAGGTGTTTCTAAACAGTTGAAGCAGTTATTAAATTTGGTTGTGGCATGTGCTATGATCTGATTAATTCATCATTGGTTGTTAAATGTCACTAGGTTGTGTGTTTGGTAGTCAGTATTTCCAACAACAAAGTAGATCAAAATATGCTAGAGAGGTCTTCATCAGTAAGGTAAACAGGAAAGTCATGGTCATCCTAACAACAGGTGGATAGATGCTCATGTGTCCTTTAACTCTTATTGACTCCCAGCCAGTTGTTATATTGAAATTGTTCTGTCACAGCCAGTGTTACCAACAATGAAAGAGGTAAAATTTTGCTTACAAAGACTGAGCATCATTGTGTTGTTAACTGTTGTCCCCTCATGGGATGCAGCTATTTTTTGTTTGTTTTTGAAGCTCCACCCTGGATTTTGCTGTGGACCCTGAATATAGCCGGGCAATAAATATGGCTTAGCCGTAGAAATGGCCTAACGGCTGAAAAAGGGTTTCTGGGACCTCTCCAGGGTGATCCTCATTTGCATGGTGGCACTTTGTGTCACCGGGTGTCTATCGCTTGTGTGATGTCATGGTGGGGTACAACTACCTACCTATTTATCTACCTACCTGAGCATCAGTGAGCCACACAAGAAACATTTGGTCATTAATGCTTAGACATCATACAAGTGTTCCTTTTTTTTTGTGTGGTTAGGCACACTGTGTTGCAGTTTACAGCTTGGCTGTGATAACATTAAATTTCAACACATCACTAATTGGTCCCCTTTTACAATGTGCTTGCTAGGAGGCAGTGGGTCCATTCCCCCCCCCCCCCCCCCTTTTTTTTTTTCATATCTCAACTGGACACCAGAACCCACACTGGGACCTGATTGTTGAATATATTAACTCCCAGTCAGTTGTTTTATTTACTTAGACTGTCTCAACCCTTCTGACATTGGATAGGACACTTGTTGGGGCAACCTGAGAACAAAATAACCAGAAAGTCTTTGTACTGGAACCCACAGGGGCATAGAAATAAATGCAGACCCCAAAAATACATGGAAAAGGGAACTAGAGAGTGAAGTTCAAAGGATGAGAAGGGCATGGGGTGTGCTGCATATAGTAGCAAACCTCATTGTGTGAAACAGGGTCTTTTAATTTATACTTAGTCTGTATGCAGTCTTTCTTTCTCAGTTGAGCGAGAAAGAGAATTCTCAAGAGCTCTATAAATCCTATCCTGATATACAGAAATAAATCATGGACAAGTGGCCTGTCAGTGAAACAATTATTGTATTTAAATGGGGTAAAATTGAGTCATGTTTTACTTTAGCACAGAGTACCCAGTTTCATGTGAAGTTGGAGAGGTAAAATTTGGTAAAGTAGATAACAGGCCACATTACTTCACCAGTGAGTGTTTCAGTAAAGAGTCTTGTCTCCTCATAAAGAGAACTCACGAGGGACCCAAGAAATTGTTCTTCTTATCAGAAGTTCCTTTTATCCAGATAAGAGTTCAATCTGGGGATAATCAAATTGTTCTTTATGAACAGAAATTAGCCACATCAGAGATCACCTTAAGTGGACAGCACTGTGCTACCCGTTTGACCAACATAAAAGGCCTATTGTCATTTTTATACTCAGGAATAAACATTTGGGAACCCACGAGTCTGTAGATCTGTAATGGTAAACAAATTGACACACATTGATTTGCACTCATAGAAAGAAGTAGATAGATTGGAAGACACACTAGAAAATAGAAAGTTATAGTTACCATGCCATGAATTGAACTGTCACCTCCAAATGACCACAGCATCAGGCTACAGAAACAAGTGTGCTTCACAGTACATGACCAGCCAGTATCTGTATGCCTAGTCTTATACAAGTCACACACACAAATGTCTCACTGTCATTTCTGTAAATTTATAGTTCATAAATTGTGTATCTCTTTTATTG